GGAACCCACCTCCGACACTTGCCACAACCTTGAGCCAGGTGATTGGGTCTACGTACGGCGCCATCCTTGAAAGCACGCCTTGAGCCCCAGTGGAAGGGTCCTCATCAGGTACTGCTTACTACATGGACGGCTGTTAAACTATCTGGCATCGCAGCATGGATACATGCTTCACAGTGTAAGAAGGCACCATCCCCAGAGAACCAATCATCACCTCAGGACAACACAGAGTCAATTTTGACTCCAGAAGAAGACGTAGAGGAACAGTCTGCAATACCTTACAATCTACGCTCTCGTAAGGGTTGCCAGAAACAGACGCTGTTCCTCGGCTGCTGGTATCTTACGGTCTGGGGAGACCATGATGACAATTCTTTTATCCAGCAGCAGGTGTGGATAGCTCAGACCCTTAATATTTCTAATTGCTGGGTCTGCAGCCACATCCCAGCCCACTCTCAAACAGGTGTTCCTGTCCTGGCTATCCCACTCAAGTCTCCAGACCTCACTGGAGGGCCTCATCCGTTTAACAAAATATGGAACAGCAATGACACTTGGGAAGTGGTGGGAATAAATGCATCTCAATGGATAAGTGTGGTGGAGGGAAAAGGTCATTGGTGTTGGGTGTGTAATGGGACAGGGCTGGATCTGGGAAAAAGCCGTTGCCTTCAGCATATTGTGGCCAATGGTGTATGGGATTATTCAAACAAAACTAAAAAGTGGCGGGCTGGGTATGGAGATATGAATTTTTTCTCAACCAGGGATCAAACAGAGAAATCAATCTCATGTTCCCCCTACAGTAACCTTAGTGAAAACAATACAATCTTTCAATGTCATGCAAATAACACCACTCCTCGTAAGGAGAATTACCCTGTACCCTTTGGGGGATACTCCTCCTCCTTTGCAAACACCTATATGACAAATGGGTTCAACCGACCCTTCCTGGCCTTAATAGGCCATCACTGGGTGTGTGGGACCAGAGCTTATACCGCACTACCAGCTAATTGGTCAGGAATCTGTTATCCCGCCCGACTCTTCCCACAATTCCGAGTGCTAGGAACACCTAGGAACCCTCGAGAACACCTCCACAATTTCAGGTGAAAAAGAAGGGACTTAACAGATGCCCAATGGTATGTAAATAACATAAGCCCCTTAACCTGGGAAGAGGCCACTGGCGGTTCCTTCATACCATTAGGGGGAGTAATACACCATGCAAAAAGGCCCCTAAGGTTACAAGCAGTAGTTGAAATAATGGCAAATGAAACCGGAGAAAGTTTAAGAGCCCTGGCCAAAGAAACAGGGGCAATCTGACAGATGGCCCTCCAAAACTGTCAGGCACTGGACATAGTGCTGGCGGCAAAAGGAGGGACTTGTGCTCTCATTGGAAAAGACTGCTGTGTGTATATACCAGACAACACCAATGAGGTAATAGATTGTGCTAGCCACTTAGATCAAACTGCATATCTTCCCCACGAAGAGCCAAGTTCTTTATGAAAGTGGCTAAGTAACCTTTTCAATTTCTCTGGCATAGGAAACTGGTTGTTTCAGGGAGCCCTAACTCTCCTGTTTGGAATCCTAATAATTTTTGTATGTTTTCAGTTACTTTCCTGTTGTATTCAAAATTGTGTCAGGCATGCTACACAGATAGCTGCCCCAAAACCAGAGTGCTAATTTGATGATTTTAAATATCAATGATGAACAAAGAGATAAAGAATGATTGATATGTGGAACCCAGTCATTGTTGATCATTGCATAGCTTGACCAAAAGGAGAGATTGTGAAAGTAGAATGAATTATATTGAAATTATAATTCATTAAAGACATGCTACTTGAAGGGTTTGTTGAAATATAGTTGTCAGGAAGAGAAACATTAAGGAGTGTGAGACAATGGTCCTCAAACTAATTAACTTAGAGCTCCTACTGAGCTAGGAGATTGGTAAACGTTAGTATGCAATAAGATATGTATGTATATTTGTCAGTTTCTGCTTCCTTTTGTCTCTTATGTTAAATTGGCTTTGGTTTAGCTGTATAAATAAGCTAGCTTGAGCCTCAGAGAGGGGCTCACATATCTGGGTGCATTGGCAAAGTGCTTTGCTAATAAACAGAGTGGTCTGACAAATTATGTGAATCCTGAATCTGACTTTGACAGTGGACAAGTCCCGTCTCCTCCCTGTACCTCAGTTTCCCCATCTGTGAAGCAGGGTGTAGTACAAAGAGAGCACCTGCGAGATAAGACCTGGTATAAGGGCTTGGTGTACGGCCTAAGCCCTGACCTAAAGACAGGCCCTGCGAATCTAAGGCGAAAATAGCAAGAGTTAAACTATGAGCAAAAGTCAGCCCCCGTTACAAAACAGATGCCCGCTTGCAGGCTAGCTATCCAATCCATGATCTGGGCAAGGACAGGGCTGGCGCTGCAAAAACAGAAGCATTCCTCGGCACTAAGTATTCACGTCAACACATTCCTTAAGGGTAGTTCCAGAACACCCCGATACAAGGTTATGGTGTAAACACAGGTCCTGAAGAGGATAAAGGGAGACCTGGCTCTTTTTTTTTTTTTGTTATAAAGGAAACAAATAAATATAAATAGTCATCAGTCAGGGCGAATCTCAGCTCTGCAGCTCCGGCCCCTGAGCAGCGGGCTGGGGGGTTGGGGGGAGGGAGGAAGCGGCCGGTTCACGGGGTCCCATATGGCTGGGACCCGCTGGCGCTGGGAGAGAGTTGGGACTGCATCCCCTTCCCAGCAGTGACCAGCTCCAGGGAGCTGTGGGGTGACCAGAGGGAAATAATCCCCGGCAGGTTTAGCCGGATGGAGAAGGGACCAATGGCTCGTTGCTTCGCTCCCTGGAGATCCCCAGTTCACTCGCACGAGAAGAGCCCTTTGCGTGAGGCGAGCAGCGCTCCGCAATGCGCTGGGAGGGGGGACGTAGTCCGGACATGAAAGAGTTAACCCGCGATGTCGGAGGTTTCAGTCCTGACGGCCCTTGCCCCTCCTGCGGCCCCGACAGGAGAGTTTTGCTTGTGTCGTTGCTGCCCCCACGCGGCCGGCGCGGGAAGTTCCGCAGCTCCGGTTTTGGTATTAGCATGGACCGTTTTACTCTCACTGTGTGTCTCGCACAGTAATAGCGGGCGGTGTCCTCGGGCTTCAGGCCGGTCATCTGCAGATACAGCTCACTCTTGGAGTTATCCCTGGAGATGGTGAATCGCCCTTGAACAGCCGGGGAATACCATTGCTTGGATGCATCGGCTCTAATCTCAGCCACCCACTCCAGCCCCTTCCCGAGAGCCTGGCGGAGCCAATTCATGTAGGCGCTGCTGAAGGTGAAGCCGGAGGCTTTGCAGGAGAGGCGGAGAGAGTCTCCGGGCTTCTTCACACCCCCTCCGGACTCCACCAGCTTCTGGGACCGGACACCTGGGAATAAAGAGAGGTTGTTAATATCGATATAAAAGCAGAGGTAAGAAACTATTCTTCTGTCAGTTATTCAGAGGAGGAAAATACCATCCAAAGCTGCTGCAGCGAAAAATAAAAGGAGCAAAAATCCCATTTTCCCGGGTGCTGGAGGGGAAAGTTCTCAGGGGACTGGCTGGTCACTGCACAGACCCAGGGGGCTGCGGATTGTGTCTCCGGGTGCGACCTGTGCAGGGAGAGGGACACATTTAAACAGGAAACTCTCGCCCTTATTTGCATGCCCCGCTCCTTATAAGAGACACACACTCTTACCCTTACTATTTTGGGTGATTAACTATCGGTGCAGACAGTCCCTTCCTCTGTGCTGTGCAGCGCCTGGGCGGCTGGATCCTGATGATACTGTTATCCCAGGGAGGGCTGAAGTGATCTCTCACCCCTCAACACCATCTTATGGCCTGACAGAGCATGTTTCGGGTGGTTCAGTGCAGGACACCCCTTGTTCTTCATGGCCTTGGGATCAGAGGGTTGGAGAGAAAAATATTTGGCAGGAGAACGGGGGCGGTGCATGTGAGACTTTCTGGCTCCAAGAGGAAACTGAGGCACGCTTGTTTATAACAATGGAAATCCTGGCAGTTAAAATTCAGGGGTTGCCTAATCTAGGATGGGACTTTCACGGAAGGATGGAGGGAGCACTGGGCTCTATGTTGTTCAGTAGAAGCCGCGTTCTGGTCTCTCTCCATCCCGGGGTCTTTTTCTCCCTCTGCCTCAGCCTCTGTCTGCAACTGCAGTGACCCCGATCTTAGAGCCCTTGGTCACGTGACTGTCCCCCTTGACCCGAGGACCAGCGCTGGGCTGAGTGATGTCATCAAGGGCTGAGGGGCGGGGTCTTTTATCTCCATGGTGAAATTATGAAATTGCAGAGATTTATTGTGGGTCGGGATGTCTCAGCAACACCCATTGATACCAGCTGAGAGTCAAGGCTTTGATTTACAGATGTCAGTGGGGTGAAAAGAATCCCTCAGTCCCTTTGGAAAATCGCAGCTGTGCCCATATTCCCAGGCTCTGCCAGTGGGGCTTAGTCAGGCGCTGGGTGATCTCTGCCCCACAGCCCCACCCGGACTCTGCATTGCCCATTTGCATGTCCCGGCGTCCGTCCCTCCTCTTTGAACCAGGGGCTGTGATAGTTCCCCGGCCTTGTGGGGATAAAGGCAATAAGCGCTTGTGAAGGGCGGAGACGCCAAGGTGAGGGGCCCCACACCGGTTATAATGTACTAATCACCCTCTGTGGCGTTAATGCACGAAACATCCCCTTTTGCTTAAAGGGCCAGATCCTCATGGGTGTAAATCGAGAGTAACTCGAACCTAGTGAAAGCAGTTGTGTGACTTTACACTAGCTAAGGATCTGTCCCCATGAGGAATTCGCTCCATCCATTGGGTTTGATGCAAACCTCATTGGGCACTCCAGCCCCCTCCCGGGGGCAGACGGATCCATCCAATCCATGAGATAACTGCTGACGGTGAACCCGAAGGCTCCAGGCTTTTTCCAACCCCTCCGGACTCCACCAGCAGGACCCGCAGCCTGGCCGCTGAAAATAGAGATTTCTTTAGACCCCTGATTCTATCACGCTCAGGAACCCGGAGGGGCGTACACTTTGTTCTTTAATAGTTACCTGGGAGAATTGACAGAGTGAGAATTAAGTTCAGCCAAACTCTCATCTTCCTGGGTTTTGTGTAAGAAATTCCGAGGGGCAGAGTGAAAGTGAGAGTGTGGAAAAACCTGCGCTTTCTTCTGGGGGGAGCTGCAGGGCCAGAGACTTGGCAGGATTTAAACATGGTGATTAGCTCTTGATTTGCATAGAGATCCCTTCATATAAGAGAGAGGTTCCTCTGGCTAAGCACCGTGAGCGGGGATAGATAGATAGATAGATAGATAGATAGATAGATAGATAGATAGATAGATAGATAGATAGATAGATAGATAGATAGATAGGAAGGATGACTGTGGATGGATGGATAGATGGGGTGGGGAGGTGTATGGGGAAACAAATATTTGGCAAGGGAATGTTAAATAGCCGGTTTTACTGAGTGGTGCTCAGACGGTAAGGATGGATAATTGAATCCATAATGCGCCATGGTACTGGGCTCTCAGACTGTTTGGAGACCAGTTCATTGATGAGGTTAATCGGGGTGAGACAATGTACAGGGCAGGGAGTGGAATACATGTATAACATCTTAAAACATGTCCCACACAGCTCTGTCACATTGAGAATAGGGATTCGATTCCCTTTATAGATGCCAGGGTTTGTGTTTTCACCCATGCTGCTTTCTATCCTCACACAGGAACTGAGAGGCAAACATGGGAATATCTGGAGTTCTCTTGGCCCTGGTCTACACTAGGACTTTAGGTCGAATTTAGCAGCATTAAATCCATGTAAACCTGCACCCGTCCACACGATGAAGCCCTTTATTTCGACTTAAAGGGCTCTTAAAATCGATTTCCTTACTCCACCCCTGACAAGTGGATTAGCACTTAAATCGGCCTTGCTGGCTCAAATTTGGGGTACTGTGGACACAATTCGATGGTTTTGGCCTCCGGGAGCTATCCCAGAGTGCTCCATTGTGACCGCTCTGGACAGCACTCTCAACTCAGATGCGCTGGCCAGGTAGACAGGAAAAGAACCGTGAACTTTTGAATCTCATTTCCTGTTTGGCCAGCATGGCAAGATGCAGGTGACCTTGCAGAGCTCATCAGCAGAGGTGACCGTGATGGAGTCCCAGAATCGCAAAAGAACTCCAGCATGGACTGAATGGGCGGTACGGGATCTGATCGCTGTATGGGGAGAGGAATCCATGCTATCAGAACTCCGTTCCAGTTTTCGAAATGCCAAAACCTTTGTCAAAATCTCCCAGGGCATGAAGGACAAAGTCCATAACAGGGACCTGAAGCAGTGCCGCGTGAAACTGAAGGAGCTGAGGCAAGCCTACCAGAAAACCAGAGAGGCGAATGGCCGCTCCGGGTCAGAGCCCCAAACATGCCGCTTCTATAATGAGCTGCATGCCATTCTAGGCGTTCAACCACCACTACCCCAGCCGTGTTGTTTGACTCCTTCAATGGAGATGGAGGCAATATGGAAGCAGGTTTTGGGGATGAAGAAGATGATGATGATGATGAGGTTGTAGATAGCTCACAGCAAGCAAGCGGAGAAACCGGTTTTCCCGACAGCCAGGAACTGTTTCTCACTCTGGACCTGGAGCCAGTACCCCCCGAACCCACCCAAAGCTGCCTCCTGGACCCGGCAGGCGGAGAAGGGACCTCCAGTGAGTGTACCTTTTAAAATACTATACATGGTTTAAAAGCAATCATGTGAAAGGATTACTTTGCCCTGGCATTCGCGGCTCTCCTGGATGTACTCCCAAAGCCTTTGCAAAAGGTTTCTCGGGAGAGCAGCCTTATTGCATCCTCCATGGTAGGACACTTCACCACTCCAGGCCAGTAACACGTACTCGGGAATCATTGTACAACAAAGCATTGCAGTGTATATTTGCTGGCGTTCAAACAACATCCGTTCTTTATCTCTCTGTGTTATCCTCAGGAGAGTGAGATAACATTCATGGTCACCTGGTTGAAATAGGGTGCTTTTCTTAAGGGGACACTCAGAGGATCCCATTCCTGCTGGGCTGTTTGCCTGTGGCTGAACAGAAATGTTCCCCGCTGTTAGCCACAGGGAGGGGGGAGGGTTGAGGGGGTAGCCACGCGGTGGGGGGAGGCAAAATGCGACCTTGTAATGAAAGCACATGTGCTATATATGTAATGTTAACAGCAAGGTTTACCCTGAAAGAGTGTAGCCACTGTTTTATAAAATGTGTCTTTTTAAATACCGCTCTCCCTTTTTTTTTCTCCACCAGCTGCATGTGTTTTAATGATCACAGGATCTTCTCCTTCCCAGAGGCTAGTGAAGCTTAGAAAAAAAAAAAAACACACTCGCGATGAAATATTCTCCGAGCTCATGTTGTCCTCCCACACTGACAGAGCACAGACGAATGCGTGGAGGCAAATAATGTCAGAGTGCAGGAAAGCACAAAATGACTGGAAGGAGAGGTGGCGAGCTGAAGAGAGTAAGTGGAGGGCTGAAGAGAGTAAGTGGCAGGCTGAAGACAGGGATGAAGCTCAAATGTGGCGGCAGCATGATGAGAGGAGGCAGGATTCAATGCTGAGGCTGCTGGAGGACCAAACCAGTATGCCACAGTGTATGGTTGAGCTGCAGCAAAGGCAGCTGGAGCACAGACTGCCACTGCAGCCCCTCTGTAACCAACCGCCCTCCTCCCCAAGTTCCATAGCCGCCACACCCAGACGCCCAAGAACGCGGTGGGGGGGCCTCCGGCCAACCAGCCACTCCACCACAGAGGATTGCCCAAAAAAAAGAAGGCTGGCATTCAATAAATTTTAAAGTTGTAAACTTTTAAAGTGCTGTGTGGCATTTTCCTTCCCTCCTCCACCACTCCTCCTGGGCTACCTTGGTAGTCATCCCCCTATTTGTGTGATGAATGAATAAAGAATGCATGAATGTGAAGCAACAATGACTTTATTGCCTCTGCAAGTGGTGATCGAAGGGAGGAGGGGAGGGTTGTTAGCTTACAGGAAAGTAGAGTGAACCAAGGGGCGGGGGGTTTCATCAAGGAGAAACAAAGAGAACTTTCACACTATAGCCTGGCCAGTCATGAAACTGGTTTTCAAAGCTTCTCTGATGCGTACCGCGCCCTCCTGTGCTCTTCTAACCGCCCTGGTGTCTAGCTGTGCGTAACCAGCAGCCAGGCGATTTGCCTCAACCTCCCACCCCGCCATAAACGTCTCCCCCTTACTCTCACAGATATTGTGGAGCACACAGCAAGCAGTAATAACAGTGGGAATATTGATTTTGCTGAGGTCTAAGCGAGTCAGTAAACTGCGCCAGCGCACCTTTAAACGTCCAAATGCACATTCTACCACCATTCTGCACTTGCTCAGCCTGTAGTTGAACAGCTCCTGACTACTGTCCAGGCTGCCTGTATACGGCTTCATGAGCCATGACATTAAGGGGTAGGCTGGGTCCCCAAGGATAACTATAGGCATTTCAACATCCCCAACAGTTGTTTTCTGGTTTGGGAATAAAGTCCCTTCCTGCAGCTTTTGAAACAGACCAGAGTTCCTGAAGATGAGAGCATCATGTACCTTTCCCGGCCATCCCATGTTGATGTTGGTGAAACGTCCCTTGTGATCCACCAGAGCTTGCAGCACTATCGAAAAGTACCCCTTGTGGTTTATGTACTCGGCGGTTTGGTGCTCCAAGGCCAAGATAGGGATATGGGTTCCGTCTATGGCCCCACCATAGTTAGGGAATCCCATTGCAGCAAAGCCATCCACTATGACCTGCACATTTCCCAGGGTTACTACCCTTGATATCAGCAGATCTTTGATTGCGTGGGCTACTTACATCACAGCAGCCCCCACAGTAGATTTGCCCACTCCAAATTGATTCCCAACTGACCGGTAGCTGTCTGGCATTGCAAGCTTCCACAGGGCTATTGCCACTCGCTTCTCAACTGTGAGGGCTGCTTTCATCTTGGTATTCATGTGCCTCAGGGCAGGGGAAAGCAAGTCACAAAGTTCTATGAAAGTGCCCTTATGCATGCGAAAGTTTTGCAGCCACTGGGAATCGTCCCAGACCTGCAACACTATTCGGTCCCACCAGTCTGTGCTTGTTTCCCGAGCCCAGAATCAGCGTTCCACAGCATGAACCTGCCCCATTAGCACCATGATGCATGCATTGGCAGGGCCCATGCTTTCAGAGAAATCTGTGTCCATGTCCTGATCACTCACGTGACCGCGCTGACATTGCCTCCTCGCCTGGTATCGCTTTGCCAGGTTCTGGTGCTGCATATACTGCTGGATAATGCGTGTGGTGTTTAATGTGCTCCTAATTGCCAAAGTGAGCTGAGCGGCCTCCATGCTTGCCTTGGTATGGCGTCCGCACAAAAAAAAGGCGTGGAACGATTGTCTGCCATTGCTCTGATGGAGGGAGGGGCGACTGATGACACGGCTTACAGGGTTGGCTTCAGGGAGCTAAAATCAACAAAGGGGGTGGCTTTACATCAAGGAGTATTTCAGGCAGGACTTCACAGAGGGTTCCAGTAAGAAATGGTGCACCTAAGTTATTGTTCTTATTGGAACAAGGAGGTTAGCCTGGCCTCTGATTGATACATGGCTAGATTTACCTCGCTGCACCTTCTCTGTGAGTGACTGCAGTGTGACCTAGAGGAATGAGTCCCCTAGACGGGGGAGGAGGCAAATGAGTACAAAACAAATCTGGTCTATTTCTTGTTTTGATCCACTCCATCTAGCTTTTACATCTTTGGCTGGCAGCAGATGGTGCAGAAGGACTGCATGCCATCCACAGCTCATGGCTGCTCAGCAGAAGATGGTACAGTATGACTGCTAGCCATCCTCATCTCTTGCCTGCCCGGCAGAAGATGGTACAGTACGACTGCGAGCAATCTGTATCGCCTGCCTGCTCACCATAAGACGGTTCAATAGGACTGACTGCAGGACTAAAGAGAATGACCTGGTCAAGTCACTCCAAATTTAGTCCCTGCGCCCATGTCTGCCCAGGCGCTCCCAGCCGACGTGGCCAGGAGCACCTCGGACATGACAATGACGGCTATCAGTCGTATTGCACCGTCTGCTGCCAGAAGGCAATGGGTTGCTGCTACTGTGTAGCAAAGCCGTACCACGTCTGCCAGCACCCAGGAGACATACGGTTACAGTTACCTGAGCAGGCTCCATGCTTCCCGTGGTATGGCGTCTGCACAGGTAACTCAGGAAAAAAGGCGCAAAACGATTGTCTGCCCTTGCTTTCACGGAGGGAGGGAGGGAAGGGGGGCCTGACGATATGTACCCAGAACCACCCGCGACAATGTTTTAGCCCCATCAGGCATTGGGATCTCAACCCAGAATTCCAATGGGCAGTGGAGACTGCGGGAACTGTGGGATAGCTACCCACAGTGCAATGCTCCGGAAGTCGACTCTAGCCTCGGTACTGTGGAAGCACTCTGCTGAGTTAATGCACTTAGAGCATTTTCTGTGGGGACACACACACTCGAATATATAAAACCGATTTCTAAAAAAACGACTTCTATAAATTTGACCTTATTCCGTAGTATAGACATACCCCAACAGATAATAATTCCTTTGAACCCATATCAGTGTCTGCAATAGAATATCTGGGACCGAGTGAATCCCCAAGACAGCCAGTGCGGGACACCCGGTTCCCGGTATCTCCGCCTCCTGTGGATCTAGATCTGACTGTACAGCCGGGTTCGTTTCCCCCATTTCAAACGGAGGAAATTGCTTTCTCTTGTGAGCTCCCAGAGCGCGGATTGGCAGCACGAAACCAGCCGGGACTTTCTCTGGGAACCTCCCCAGGAGGTTTTTGTCTGAGCTCAGAGCGGCTTCCCCTCACTGTGCAGGGGTCATGTCTGGCACAGCGATAGCGGGCGGTGTCCTTGGGCTTCAGGCCGGTCAGCTGCAGACACAGCAGGTTGCTGGGATTGTCCCTGGAGATGGTGAATCGCCCTTTGGCTGCATCAGCCTCCCAAGTGCTACTCCCACTGCCGCTGCTGATACGGCGACCCACTCCAGCCCCTTCCCGGGAGCCTGACAGACCCGCTCCATGCACTAATCCGTGAAGGGGAACCCGGAGGCTTTGCGGGAGAGGCGGAGAGAGGCTCCGGGCTTTTTCACACCCCTCCGGACTCCACCAGCTGCACCTGTGACGGGACACCTGCAAATAAGGACACGTCAGACATCAGACGATTCTGCTGGAGAAGAAACCTGGGGATGCCCCGCTCTTGCTGGGGAGTAAATCACCTCTGAGCTCTGCCAGAGAGAGAAGCCAACGTCTTGTGTCTCTGCCTGTGTGGGGTGTTCTGGGGAGATGACTGCTGTGGCTCAGGGCTCTGGCTTTTCAGTGCTAGGGTTGCAGGGTCTGGGGAATGGCAGGGTTTTACGCAGGGAGCTGAGTCACCGCATTTGCATACACTGGCTTTTTGTAAGGGGCTGATAAGTTCATCCTCTGCTTGACTTGAAATCCCCAACTCAGAACTCAAATAGGAGAGTGATTTATCCAGAGATCTGGCTCTGGCTGAGTGACTTTGTCCATAACACACTACCCATTAAACTGATCAGCGAGATGGTAAATTGTTAAGATAACATCCTCAGCAGAGTGACAAGTATCAGAGGGGTAGCCATGTTAGTTTATCTCCACAAAAACAATGAGGAATCCTCTGGTACCTTAAAAACTAATAAGGCTTTGTCTACACTATGAAATTACTCCGATTTCACAGAAGTTGATTTTTGGGAACAGATTGTATAAAGTCAAGTGCATGCACCCACACTAAGCACATTAATTCGGTGGCAGTACTGTGGCAAGCCTCGACATTGCGAGCGGTGCACTGTGGATAGCTATCCCACAGTTCCCATGGTCCCCGCTGCCCATTGGAATTCTGGGCTGAGCTCCCAATGCCTGATGGGGCCAAATATTTGTCACGGATGGTTACGGGTAAATGTCATCAGTCAGCTCTCCCTCCATGAAAGCAATGGCAGACCATCATTTTGCACCCTTTTCTCTGGATTGCCTGAGCAGATGCCATAGGATGGCAAGCATGGAGCCCGATCAGCTCACCGCAGCAGTTATGACCATGGTAAACACCTCATGCATTATCGTGCAGTTTATGCAGAACCAGCACCTGAAAAACCAGGTGAGGAGGCAACAGAAGCACGGTGATGAGGACTTGAACACAGATTTCTCTAAAACCACGGTCCCTGGCAATTTGGAGACCATGGTGTTAATGGGGCAGGTTCATGCCATGGAAAGCTGGTTCTGGGCCTGGTAAACAAGCACAGATTAGTGGGACTGCATAGTGCTGCAGGTCTGGGATGATTTCCAGTGGCTCCAAAACATTTGCATGCGTAAGGGCCCTTTCATGGAACTTTGTCACTTGCTTTCCCTGTGGAGTGAGTGGCCATAGCCCTGTGGAAGCTTGCAATGCCAGACAGCTACCGGTCAGCTGGGAATCAATTTGGAGTGGGCAAATCTACTGTTGGGTTGCTGTGATGCAAGTATCCAACGCAATCATTGAGCTGCTGCTATCAAAGGTAGTGACTCTGGGAAATGTGGAGGTCATACTAGATGGCTTTGCTGCAATGGAATTCCCTAACTGTGGTGGGGCTGTAGACAGAACGCATATCCCTATCTTGGGACAGGATCACCAAGGCAGCCAGTACACAAACCAAAAGGGGTACTTTTCAATGGTGCTGCAAGCACTGGTGGATCACGAGGGACGTTTCACCAACATCAGTGTGGGATGACTGGGAAAGATTTATGACGTTCGCATCTTCAGGAACTCTGGTCTGTTTAAACGGCTGCAGGAAGGGATTTACTTCCCAGACCAGAAAATAACTGTTGGGGATGTTGAAATGCCTGTATGTATCCTTGGGGACCCAGCCTACCCCTTAACGCCATGGCTCATGAAGCCGTACACAGGCACCCTGGACAGTAGTCAGGAGGTGTTCAACCAGCAGGTGAGCAAGGGCAGAATGGCGGTAGAGTGTGCATTTGGACGTTTAAAGAGTCCCCCCTCTGTTCCTCAGACGTTCTTGTCAACTGCTGGAAATGGCCCACCTTGATTATCACTACAAAAGGTTTTTTTCCCGCTCTCCTGCTGGTAATAGCTCACCTTAAGTGATCACTCTCGTTACCGTGTGTATGGTAACATCCATTGTTTCATGTTTTCTATGTATATAAATCTCCCCACTGTATTTTCCACTGAATGCATCCGATGAAGTGAGCTGTAGCTCACGAAAGTTTATGCTCAAATAAATTTGTTAGTCTCGAAGGTGCCACAAGTACTCCTTTTCTTTTATCAGGATGAATGGCAAGGAGTACAATATTCTCCTGTCTCTACAATACAACGAATGAAAGAGATTACCTTTCCAAGCCACTGCAATGAAAAGCAGATGCAACCAAACTCTCATTTTGCCTGGTGTTGAAGGGGAAAGTTATCTGGGGGGCCGAGGTTTGGCTGGTAACTGCACAGACTGATTGTCTCTTGGAGTGCAGTCTAGGCATGGAGAGAGAAAGAGAGATTTAAGCAGGAAATTGTCACCCCTATTTCCATGTTTACCCTTTTAAGTTTCAGAGGGATAGCCGTGTTACTCTGTTTCAGCAAAAACAAGGAGGAGTCTTGTGGCACCTTAAAGACAAACCAATTTTGTCAGATGCTCCAGCCCACGAAAGCTTATGCCCAAATAAATTTGTCTTTAAGGTACCACAGGACTCCTCGTTGTTTTTATCCTTATAAGAGACTCAAATTCCTTCCCTTGGTGATGTGAATTACTTCCACTCGTATTCATAGAACAGTCTGCATGTCTCACAGAGCGCTGGGTTCCTCATTTCACTTTTGGATAAGGAAGACATGTATACCTTTTAAAACAACTCTTCCCCCGGCTTGTGTTAAGGGCCTGTTCCTAGTCAACTTAGGTGATGGTGGAAGATTCGTTTCTGCAGCCTCCCTCCTCCCCCCACCTCGCGAGCAGTGGGGCTGTGCAACGGCCGGCCACTGTGGGGTCAGTGACTCGGGGCGGGTCACAGGGTCCAACTGGGCTGAGACACTCTCAGACTGATGAAAATTCACGAGGGCGCAAAACGAGGGCTGGGAGTCAATTCCCTGGCCATCCCCCTTCCCCGCCATGTCCGGCTCCGCTGAAAAGTGCAGGGAACGGAGGGGAATGTGCCGTGGGAAGTTCAGACGGAGATCGGGGGCCAAATGCTGCTTTCTTCACTCTCTGGAAGTCTCCAGAGACTCGTAATTAGCTCGTAATTAGCGGAGGGGAGAGGGCAGCACATATTACCCCGCTTCAGCCCGGGGTCCCTTCACCGTCTCCAGAGACACCTCCAGCAGCCTGCTGTACTTGCTAATGACCGGCCTGAGACCCGAGGACACCGCCCGGTATCGTTGTGCGAGAGACACCGTGAAACGAGACCGATGAATGTTAATAGAAAAACCCACGGGGCAGAATCTCATTCTCCGGTGCGACGCGTGGGGGCAGCAGATCCACAAACAATTCACCCCGGGGCACGAGAATGAGAGGGACACCAGAATGAATAAGAGCCTGCCATCAGGTTTTCACCTTATAATTCACTGGCTACGGCCCCCATTGCTGCACAAAATCCGGATGGGCCGGCGGGGCAGGGATCATTCAGCTCCTTGATAAACCCTACTCAGCTCCAACCCGAAATGTGGGGAAGGGCTGGGAATTTTTTAAGCGGCATCATGGATTTATTCACCCACCTCAGATCTCAGGTTCACAGCCCAGGATCTCTGCCTTGAGTCGAGAGGTGTCTGGAGCCTGATGCACCTTTTAAGTGTGTGTTTGATCTACAGTTGCATTTTTTTGTTTTTCAGAGGAATTTGAGAGCATTTCTACCCATCCCCCAACAAACAACAAAAGCTTTTTGACAGTCATCACTTTTAGGCAGCTTTGGAAACCCAAGCTCTAATGATCATACTTTGAACAATTGGTTCCCCACATATTTCTCTTGCGCAGTCTGTACTTTTACTTCAGTGTCTGATAAGTGTCAATGTAAGCATGCGACTTGTTGCAGTTTTTATGGACACATGATCATATGGGAATACAGAGATCTCAAACCTGCTGAGAGAGATTTATTCGCTCTGGCTGTAGATCCCGTTCCTGTGCCCAGGGGTGGAGTGTTTGTGGACGTGCTGCCCCCTCGCGGCCTATGGCAGAAAGGAGATTCTGCCTCTCGAGTTTTTGTATGAACAGTAAGGGGATTCCCCTCATTGTGTTTTTCACACAGTAATACCGGGCGGTGTCCTCGGGCTTCAGGCTGTTCATCTGCAGGTACAGCAGGCTGTTGGGGTCATCTCTGGAGACGGTGAATCGCCCTTTTACCGAGTCACTGTAGTATATGCTAGAACCGTGAATCCAGGCGAGCCACTCCAGCCCCTTCCCGGGAGCCTGACGGACCCAGCCCATGTAGTAGCTGCTGAAGGTGAAGCCGGAGGCTTTGCAGGAGAGGCGGAGAGAGTCTCCGGGCTTCTTCACATCCCCTCCGGACTCCACCAGCTGCAGCTGGGACCGGACACCTGGGAATAAAGATGAATTAAGGGGAACATGAGTATCTAGGGCAACAGAATAACAATCTCCTGACTATCCAACACACGAGAAGGGAAAAATACCTTCACACGCTGCTGCAATGAGAACAAGATATAACCAAAGTCTCATTGTCCCTGTGTTTGGAGAGGAGAGTTTTCAGGGGGGTTGTCTGGTGAGTGGCCAGAGACAGAGGCTGCAGATTGTCTGTCCGGGTGCAGCCGTGGAAGTGAGAGAGACAGCTTTAAAGAGGAAACTCTCCCCCCTATTTGCATATCTCCCTTCTTATAAGAGACTCCAATTATTTCCTAGAGCGAACTCAGTTTCTTTTGTGTGGGTAAGAGAAGAGCTGGCAATTTATCTCTGGGGTAACACTCCTCTCCCAGTCGGGATGCCAGCACCACTGGATTTGAGCTTCCTGTGTGACGACCAGAGCCCAGTTCTCATCTTCTTTCTCCTCTCCCTAACTCCCACTTTTAACCCTAACCCTAAGGATAAACCCGAACATTAACCTTTATATTGCTATGAACCAGAGAGCTAAATGAATACCTTAGTTGTATCCCTAAATCCTGTCTTTACCCCTTAACGTAATTCTAACCCTAAACGTAAATTCTAATCCTGACTTTTATACTAGCCCTCACCCTCCATCCTTACCTTGTCACTAAAAGTAAAGCCTGACCTTAAACCTAACGACAAAGTCTAACCAATATTTAACACTTAACTGAACACAAACCAAGATTTGTACTAGATCCCTAATTCTAAGGGTAACAAATACCCTTAATTTTTTAACGTTTGCCATAATCTTAACTGTAATACTAAATCTGGCCCTAATATTAAACATGATGTGTCACGCTAAGTTTTAAGTGACATGCATCCGACGAAGTGGGTATTCACCCATGAAAGCTGATGCTGTTGTCTATAAGGTGCCACAGGACTCTTTGCTGCTTTTACAGATCCAGACTAACACGGCTACCCCTCTGATGCTTAAGTTTTAAGTGTAACTTGCAACAGAAATTAATACCTTATCTCTTAAGTCTAAACTCTAAATTTAACGCTATTAGATCTCTTAAACCACAACTAGAACCCTAAATCTAGAGTGTATCTTAACCCTAAATTTAGTTTGGGGTGGGACTTTCACAGAAGGATTCCACTTCATATCACTAAATTCAGTGCCTTGCATGGTGACAAGTATCAGAGGGGTAGCCGTGTTAGTCTGGATCTGCAAAAACAAGGAGGAGTCAGGTGGCATTTTAAAGACTAACAGATTTATTTGGGCATAAGCTTTCCTGGGCAAAAAAACCCACTGTGTCTGAAGAAGTGGGCTTTTTGCCCACAAAAGTTGGTTAGTCTTTAAGGTGCCACCAGACTCCTCCTTGTTTTTGTGGATACAGACTAACACGGCTCCCCCTCTCATACAGAAGGATTAGGCTGTATCTTATTCAGTGGGAGCCCCATTCTGTGTCTTTCCTGCCCCCGACCTCTCCCCAATCCACGTCCACTTCTCCCTCTGCCTCAGTCTCTCTCTGAGTGGTTCCAACGATGCTATCTATGAACCCTTGGTCACGTGACTATCCCCACTGGCCTGAGTGTGAGCACTGGGCTCAGAGGCCCCTGGGCAATTGCCCCCTTAGCCACCGCCTGTCAGCGGGCCTGGCAGAGACCACTCAGTCCCTACTGGAAATATAGCGCAGGGCTGGGATTTTCAAAGGGGCCTCATGGCTAAAGGAACTCACCTCATATTTCGCAATCACAGTCCAGCATTTCTGCTGCTGTCCAAGGGGGAGGTAAAGATCCAGCTATTTAACACAGTAACCATGGATCGGCTGCTCTTAATTACAGGAAACTACCAAAGGTTGGCGCTAAAGGCAGCGGTCTAGTAAAGGTACAGGGAGGAAGTCTGGTAGGGCTTATTGGGATTGTGCAGAGAGAAGCAGCAGCCCCATAGGGGAGGTGTCAGGTTTCATTAGGGTCAGAGAGAGCAGGGCTGGTGGTCTTGACTGGTGGCTGCTCACCTGCTCATTCCCCTTTCCATAGATCTGCTCCCGGGCTGATGCACCCCAGCCATGACATAAAATAACAGAACACTGTACACGCAATGAAAATATGAAATCTGCACTTTCAAAAACAATATCAGAAACACAGAAGAGGATGTCTGGGGAGGGGTGGGGAGAGCAGGAAGGTGAGGACTTTCGACTTTTTTTTCTGTGAACTGGATACCAAGAAACACCTTTCCAATATCTGTTCTTGCCTGTATTTGAAAATGTGGGGAGGTGAGAAAGCAGAAAGCATGGGAGAGCGGGGCGAGTTCCTTGTCGTGCTGTCAAACCCTGACAGAAATTAAAGACATTTCCCTGACTGAGAGGAGGAGAGTCACATCCGCTTCAGGGGTATCAGGGCTGGGCCTGTAGACAGAGCACATGCCATTTAGCATGCTGCTGGGGCAACGCCCAAGGCCGAGAGTCTGTTAAACCCTTGAGGAGTTCAAATATTTTCCACTCCTTTTTTCTCCAGTAGTGGGTCTAGCTCAGTGGTGGGCAAACTACGGCCTGGGGGGCACATCCGGCCCTCCAGATGTTTTAATCTGGCCCTTGAGCTCCCACTGGGAAGCAGGGCCTGGGGCTTGCCCAACTCCATGCACCTCCTGGAAGCAGTGGCATGGCCCCCCTCCGGCTCCTACTTGTCGGTGCATCCAGGGGGCTCCACATGCTGCCCCTGCCCCAGGCGCTGCCCCACAGCGCCCATTGGCCAGGAACCATGGCCAACAGGAGCTATAGGGGCTGTTCCTGCAGATGGGGCAGTGCGCAGAGCTGCCTGGCTGTGCCTCAGCATAGGAGTGGGAGCGCGGATGTATCGCTACTTCTGGGAGCTGCTTGAGGTAAGTGCCACCTGGAGCCTGCACCCCTGAGCCTCCCGTACCCCAACCCCCTGCCCCAGCCCTGGTTCCTCTCCCACCCTCCGAACCCTTCCATCCCAGCCCCACCCCAAAGCCCGCAGCCCTAGACAGAACCCTCACCCCCTCGAGCACCCAACCCCCAATTCTATGAGCATGCATGGCCCACCATACAATTTCCATACCCAGATGTGTCCCTCAGGCCAAAAAGTGTGCCCACCCCTGGTCTAGCTCCTACTTTTGGATCCTCACACCAAGACATGAGATCATAAGACCAGAAGAAAGGCGATACTGGGTCAGACCAATGGTCCATCTAGCCCAGTGTCCTGTCTTCTGACTGTGGCCAATGCCAGGAGCTTCAGAGGGAATGGACCAACAAAGGCAATAATCAAATAATCTACTGGGAAGGAGTTTTATCTGTTATAAGCGGGGCGGGGGTGTGTGTGTGCAAATAATGGTGAGAGTTTCCTGTTTAAATCTTTCTCTGCAGGGCTGCACCCTGAGAAAATCCGCAGTCCCCTGAGTCTGTGCAGTTACCAACAGATCCACCAGAGACCTTTCCCCTCCGACGCCAGGGAAAATGAATCTTTGGCTCCATTTAGGTTTCGTTGCAGCCGCTTTAGAAGGTATTTTCTCCCCCTGGCTGTATGGATAAGAGACTCAGCGGAATGTTGTGTTGTTGGCAATTCACACGGACATGATTTTATTTTGCGTTTATTCCCTGGTGTCCTGTCAGGCGTTCAGCTGGTGGAGTCGGGAGGGGATGTGGAGAAGCCTGGAGAATTCCTCAGACTGACCTGTACAACCTCAGGTTTCAACATAGAGAGATAGTGAATTAATTGGGTCTGCCAGGGCGGCTCCCGGTCAGGGGCTACGGTGGCTATCACCAATTTGTGGAGCAACCACCTACTACGGAAAGTCAGCGAAAGGTCCACTGGCATAAATAGGGGTCGCTGCTGTGTGGAATCCAGCGGGTCTGTGGTCACTGATTCCAGCTGTGGATCTGCTCTCACCGTGTAAGGTCCTTCTTAAGGCCACGACAACCAAACCCTTGTGAAATCAGAGGCGAGAGTTTCATTGGTTCCCAAGGGCTGTAGATCAGCCCCATCACCCGTTTCGGCTCTCTGAGGCGACAGAGATAGCTCAGTGGTTTGAGCATTGGCCTGCTAAACCCAGGGTTGTGAGTTCAATCCTTGAGGGGGCCATTTAGGGATCTGGGCCAAAAATTGGGGATTGGTCCTGCTTCAAGCAGGGGGTTGGACTAGATGACCTCCTGAGGTCCCTTCCAACCCTAACCTTCTATGATTCTATGAACCGTGACAGCCACTGTCCAGTGAGTCTGAGATAGTAATGGCCAGGAGGAGAGTGAACGTTCCCCGCCTGCCACGGGGGAGGGTGGCTTTTATCACAGGAATCCCAGCTGAGCAGGGTTTAGGGGGGAGTCCGATGGTCTCTGCACGGCAGGCCCCAGTGCGGCTATGTGCAGCAAGGGGTGACATTGCCAGGGAACTACAGCAATACCCCCATCCCCCGACACACACACACACTGAGCCAGGGTCCTGCCCGTGCCGCAGGCTGTTTGCTTTGTGGAGCTGCTGCCCCCAGGCGGAGCACGGGAGAATCTGCAGCCCAGGTTTTTGTGTTAGGAGCAAGAGGTCTCGTTCCACCGTGCCTTTTCTTTCCCAGGAATACAACAAGGTCCTGTCCCCGGGCTTCAGGCCGTTCATTTGCAGATACAGTTCACTCTTGGAGTTATCCCTGGAGATGGAGAATCACCCTTTCACTGCATCTGAGTAATACCTTTCGCTTCCGTCAGTGTAAATGAGGGAGACCCACTCCAGCTCTTTCCCGGGAGCCTGCAGGATCCATTGCATCTGGTAGCTGCTGAAGGTGAACCCAGAGGCTTTGCAGGAGAGGCAGAGAGAGTCTCCGGGCTTTTTCACACCCCCTCTGGACTCCATCAGCTGCACCTGCGACCAGACCCCTGCAAATAATGATGCACTCTGACATCATAAGAAGAGATTTAAAAACCTGACTCTGAAATGTGTTTATAGTGAGAAAATACATTCCAAGGCTGCTATAAGAAAACCTAAGTTCCATTTTCTCTTGTCTTTGAGGGGGAAAGTTCTTAGAGAGACACACGGTAGCTGGACAGACACTCGTAGCTGGACAGACACAAGGGACTGCGGATTGTCTCTCTGGGTGAAGCCTGGGCAGAGAGAGAGACAGGGTTTAAACAGGAAACTGACACCCATATTTGCACACCCCGCTCCTTTTTAGAAGCATAGACTCCTTCCCTGGCTGAGATTG